CTTCATTGGATGGGATTTTCCCCGGAATTTTTTGTTCCCCAATAAAAGTCCACTCCCTGGCGTGTTCTCTCTCTCTCTCTCTCTCGCTAGCCTCTTCAGTAAACCTCACTACTGCATTAGGTGGATGGAGGCTGGAGCTAGGGGGAGCCATCCTGGAGCTGGTTTTAAAGGTAACTAGAGTCTTATCTCTTTAATTTAAAACTCCCTAGCATTTCGCTCATGATTCGAACCTTCTTTAATGAAGCCAGTGCTGGTTGCTGGGCAGACCCACTCTCTCTCCCTTGAGAGTATCCCCTTTCCCTTTTCCTATCCTTTCAATAAACTCATTCCTGTTACTCTGAGTGACATGTCTGAAACCTTCTGACTTGATGGCAAGAATCAGGTTTGAGGAGAGGGTCTTCACAGTTCCTCAGTTTCTTAGAAGGCCCCAGCTCTGTACCAGTGGGATGTGAGAACATGGGGTTGGGATTAGGGTTAGAGCAGGAAAGTAAGACTGATTTGAGGCAGAAAACTGGAGCAGATGGTGTATATATATATCAGTATTTAACTCGCTAGGCTGGACTCACATCAGGAGCTCAAGTGATCCTCCCCCTCTCATCCTCCTGAGTAGCTGGGAATAGAGGTGTTCACCTCCATACCTGGCTCCTCTATATTTCGTTTATTTACTTTTTAGTACGAGAGATTGAACCCAGGGCACTTAACCACTGATCCACACCCCCAGATTGTTTTATTTTTTATTTTGAGAAGTCTTGCAAAATTGCTGTGGCTCATTTGAAATTGTGATCATCCTGCATCATTCTCCCTGAGCTGCTAAGATGACAGGCCTGTGCCACCACACCCAGCTCTCCCTGTATTTTAAAGGCCAACTTCTTAGTCCCTGAATTACCTCCACCCCTACCACCCTCTCTTGTTTCTATCCTATAGAATGGGCTGGTGAAGATGGGAGTCTTGATGGTTACAGCTTTACCCTTTTGGTCCTGGGGATCATTTTCTGACCTCTTTAGTTCCCCTGAACCAGCAGGACAAATAGTGGGTGAGTCTACTCATGAGGACTCTGGAAGAGCCCATGGTCCCCACCGTGCAGGAGAAATGCAGAAAAGGAGCATCACTCCTTTAAGAGGCCCGGCCTGTAGCCTCCCCGCACCCACCACAGTATTTACCAAATGTTGAGGGGACCCTTCCCTGTTTTATAGAGGAGATGTGATTTGCCTACATTCATGTGGCTCGCATAGAGATTGAGACCATTTGGGTTTTCAGGGACATTCGTACATCTTCCCCAGCATTACCTATCCAGGTAGATAATGAGGAAAGGGCAAGGAATAGGGCTTTGGTCACCCCTGCACAGTATGCAGCAACCCCTACTATGGCCCAAACACCCATCCCAAAGAGCCCTGTGTTGTCTCAGCTCAGGGGGTCACTCCTAAATTGGGGGCAAAACCTACTCTCAAGACCCCTCTTCACAGGACCTATTTCTGCCAGGTCCTTCTCTCCCAGAGGCCAGGCTCAGGCAGGACCCCCAGAGGCAGCAGCACAATGCAGTGAACAGTTGGGCCATGACCCAGGATCTGCCCTTCTGGGAGCCTGTCTCCTGCTTGTGCCTCACTTTACTCATCCTTAAACCAGGCCAGGCTGTTCCTTTGGTTCTAAGATTGTTTGTTTGTTTTTAAAAATTTCCCATTTTTATTTTTATCCTTTGGATCTGGAGTCCTAACATGCATTAATGCCTGGTTTTGGTCCTTTTCACTTCCAAAAAAAGGCCAAAATGGAGAGTCATGGGTCATTAAATCTTCTGATGTGTGCATCAATAGACAGTCTTGTAGTTGTGAGAACATGACAGAGAACTTACACAAACCTAGATGCTACAGGTCACTCTCCTGTTGCCTCTTTTATTATTGTTATTTTTATTAATACTATTATTATTTTCAAAATGACAATTTAACCCAGGGATGCTTGACGACTGTACCCATCCTTTTCTTATATTTTATTCTGAAGCAGGTTCTCAGTAAGTTACTCAGGATCTGAATCTGGCTTTGAACTTGCAATCCTCCTGCCTCAGCCTCCCGAGTCACTGGGATTGTAGGCCCTCACCACTGCACCCACCTCCATGTTGTCTCTCGATGGAAACAAGAGATGCAGTAAACATGAGCTGTGGGGGAGGGGCTGCTGCTGATGTCACAGGGCCCATTGCTTTCCAGTTTATTTTTTTATAAGGTCCAAAGACTCTAATGATCAGAAGTGAAGTATCGTAAATACCTAAATATTCACCCTTGCTTACTGTCATCGAGTGGCCACACAGTAGGTTTATTTACGTGTAGTGTGTTGCACTAGGGTGTTAAAATGGCTGTGGCATCACTGGGGGAAGGGAGGTTTCCAGCTCCCTCATGTGCATGATATGTGGCTGTGAGTGGGGGAAATGACCTTTTGCAGCCCAGGACTATCCTCAAGGTTTCCTTAGTCCTCCCCAAGACAGAGGTGATTCTGGCTACACCTCCTGGTTCTCTCTTCTTCTGCGACCCAAGGCCTGTGCCTCCCTCCTTCCTCCCACAGCCCACTCTGCTTCTTGCTGTGGGGGGGAACCTGGGGACTTGGCAGAGCCCCACCTTATGTCCTGAAGCAAGGCACATGTGTGGTTGCCACCCAGGTGCTGCCTTCCAGGCCCACAAATGCCACTGCCCTGGCTTCCCTGCCAATGTGTGCAGACTCCTCCGCCCTTGGTCTTGTCTCCTTGCCAATTTGGTTCTGTTTGAAGGTGAGGGGTGTGTGGAGCCATGCCTGAGAGGCCAGAGATCCACACTGAATAATTGTTTCTCAACTTTTGCATGAATTACCACATAGATGATTAGAGAAGTGCCCAGAAGGGTAAGGCTGCTATGGGTTTTGCTGACCCAGCACACTCAGGCCAACAGTGCCCAGGTCAGGAGACAGAGGTGACTGCTCCTCCAAACCACCCTTTGGCAACTTTCTAGCTCCTCCTCATGGTCTCCACACCTCATCACCCTGGCAGCTTAGCTTGTTAGAGTCCCAACTTGGACATCTTGTGGATGGGCAGGGAAGGGGCTGGACCCTTGGTGGAAACTGGGAGGTGGGGGCTCCCTGCTAAATTCCTCTGACAGCACAAGGCAGGGTTCTGGGGGTCTCAGGGCAGGTGCCCATCCCTGAGGCTTCAAGGGCATGCCTCCTTCCCTCTGTGGCCAAGATCATGGGTTTATACAATGATTTGGAGCTGCCTCAGAAGACCATGCGAGAGGGGTGCTGATGACTTGCTGCAACAGTCAGCCATGACCCTGCCCCTGTGGATCGGGAAGCCTGGTGACAAGTGAGGGTGGCAGCCAGCAGGGGGGGCCTGGTGTCCAGGCCCAGACTAATGCTCCTTCCACTCACAGGCCCCCACCCCTCTGTGGAGCCATTCCAGCCTCAGGGGACTATGTGGCCAAGCCTGGAGACAAGGTGGCTGCGCGGGTCAAGGCTGTGGGTGGGGATGAGCAGTGGATCCTGGCAGAGGTGGTCAGTTACAGCCATGCCACCAACAAGTGAGTGGACACCCACTACGGCTGAAACTTCTTCACCACACCCTCTTCCGCTGGCATTGTTCAGCCTGTGTGCACAGTGGGAGAAGAGCTTCCCCGGAGGGCACCTGGGCAGGAGGTGTGGGAGGCACTGGGCTCCTCGGGCCACTTTCCCACTCTCCATCTCCCCCTCCTCCTCTTTCTGGCTCCCTGGCTTGCAGTGGGCACCTGGCTACACCCGGTGTTCCTCTTCCATTCCCCCACAGGTATGAGGTAGATGACATTGATGAAGAAGGCAAAGAGTGAGTGTCCAGCTGGGAATGGGTGGCCAGGCTCCTGGCAAGTGATCCACTGGGCTGTCTTAAGCCACCGGTGGACAGCCAACCCAGACGTGGACCCTGAGGCCTTATCCAGAGGGGCAGCTGGCATTGGCTCAGTATCTCCAGACCACCTGCTTCCACCATGTCCTGATCCACACATCCCACAGCAGGTAAGGCAGCCTCCACAGAGAGGACTTTCGTTACATCCAGACCCCAGACAGGGCATGGGGTCATCTTCCAATTCCTTCTCTTTTCTGCTCTCATGGCCTCACAGCTTCAAGGACCAGCCTCTACCTTGTGAATCCCTCCTGCCCAGCCTGAGCCTGAGCCTGAGCCTGCCCCCAGGGAGCAGGCGGCTCTGCCCTCCTGTCCTTCCTCATCTGGGCAGTCAGAGAAGCGTGAGCTGGGTGCACGTGCCCAGACCTCCTGACTCTCGCTTTCACCCCTCCAGCTGACGCTGACCCATGTGAAACGGGTCACATGTAACCTGACGCAGGCTAAACGCTCTTCCTCTTGGGCCTTCAGGACACCTGCCTGCTGCCCTCTGGGTTGCTTTATCTTCTTAACTCAGGGGTCCTGAGTGGCAACAGACCCCTTGTCATTCTAGCATGACCCTTTGAGGATGGAGTCTCACCCCTCCTCTCCCTGCATTTTGTCTTCTGCCCTAGGCCACCTTCACTGAGGACCAGCTCTGGAGCAGCAGGGAGTGGGAAGGGGACCTGGACCCCTTGACTTCAGAGGGGAAGGTGAGGCCTGTAGGTGCCTGGAACTCTCAGGGTTCCTGCTGGCCCAGGGCTCCAGGCCAAGAGGAGGCTGGCCTGTCCTGGAAGCCTCTGACCAGTGCCTCCTGTCTGCATCCTACAGGTCTCGGATGAAAACTCCATTCTGTTTGAAGACATCGCTATGCAGATGGCTGCTCCCCCTCCCTCAATGTGGCCCAGAGGTAAGTGGTGGCTTGTAAAGAGTCCCCAAAAAGTGAAGCATGCTAGGAGACTAGAGGGAGGAGGCAACAGAGGACCTTACAGGACCCAACGTCCTTCCTCTTCTCTCATGTCTCCTGGGCCTTCCCTCTGCACACCCTCTTTCCCACCCAGGAAGGACACATGGTCCTGGCAGGCTGCCGGACAGAGGGCCCTACTTGGTCCCAGTGGGATTTAGTTAGTGTCAGGTGGCCTCTTGTTGGACACATCATGTTTTATTCCTGAGGTCATAGGTCAGGCTTGTGCCCATGCTCCCCCTGCAGTGGCTCCCCACGACACCACTCAGAGCTGCCAGCGGAAGTTGAGCTTGCAGCCTGCCATCTTCTCAGCATAGTGGGCGTCAAAGCGCTCATTCTGGGCCACAGTGAAGGCAGATTTCCAGTCCCCCACGATGCCTGGGGAGGGAAAAAAGGGGCTGAGTCCCCCCCACACAGGTGGCCCCAGGTGGCTCAGGGGAAGCTCTGGCAGCTGCTTCCACACACCCTTCTGCAGCCACCCACCCTGGCCAGCACACACCTTTCCTCATGAAGGGAGAAATGTTGTGGTCCATGATCTCAGTCGGAAGGGTGCTGTAGTTAGCCATGGGATTCTTCTTCATCTCTTTGAAGGATGTGTGCTGGATGATGTGATCCACGGTCTCCTCTGACACGGAATGCCCCAGAAACTCCAGGATCTTTCTAATCTCACTTTTGGGGTTCTGAAGCAAGGCACAGGCTCTTCAGAGGGGGCTTGGATTTCTTAAGGAGGATACACAACAGAAATCCCCTCTCTGGTGTTCCGAGGGAGCTGGCCCTTCCACTTGGAAACCTCTCAGCCCCAGCTGCTTCACTCTGGGCCTGTTTCCCTGGACCCACTCCTTTTAGGGTCCAGGACTGAGCCCTGCTTGGTGTCTTATGAGACAGGGCAGGGAAAGTCTTTTTTCAGGAAATAGGTCCCAGGGTTGGCAGAGCCCCGGGCATGTGCAGCTGAGCCAGGTGCTAGGAGATGAGGGCTGTGCTGGGTCCTGAGCTGGGCTGGCTCTGTGGTTCCATGCCAGGAAGGCAGTGTGGGCAACCCTGGGCGGGGTGGGCCTGCCAAAGGGGAGGGTCCTAAGCCTTGTCAGGAACCCTGAGGTTCCAGTCCCCTGGGTGGGACATGGAAGGAAGCAGTGGCAGGCAGTCTCACCTCCTTCAGGTCTTCATAGAAGAGGTAGAGCACCGGGTGGGTGCGGCTCAGCTCCCACCACTCCTGCACGTGCTGGTACCATGATCCATAGGACACTGGGGAAGGGGACCAGCAGGGTTTGGTATGAGTTTTAGGTGGGCTTCCTAAACTCCAGCCCTCTCCTTCCTCCAGATTGGGGCCCACCTTTTCCATCCATGAACTTCTCCAGGAAGCTGTCCCAGGTGCCAGGGTCAGGGTGCACCTTGGCCATTTTGTAGAAGTTGTAATAGGAGACAGCCACGTCCTTTGCATTGCGGGCAACATAGATCACCTGCAGGGACAGACGACACCCACTGCCAGCTACACCACCCCACGCACACACCCCAGTTCTGCCTCCCTCCTGCCTGCCTGGCCCCCTCACAGCACCCCTGTGGAGGGTCCCCTCTCGGCTTGACAAGGGAACATGCTGCGGCCTTGAGGCTGACTTGCTGGAGACCTCAGGGATGGCTATGGCAGCTGGGATCTGAACTCAGCTTTGATGGGAGACTCCTGGCTGGTCCCTGGAGTCATACTTCATCCTATCTCACCCCTGGGATACCACCACACACCCAGATGGAGAACAAGGCAGGCAGGGGACCCTCCAGCCCTGCTGTGAGCCTCTGAGCACCAGGCTCCCCTGCCCTCGGGTCTGCACTGAAGAGTCTCGCTCTCCTCGTCTTGGCCCTGCCACAGTGAGGACAGGTGGCCTTCCCACTTGTGCAGAGACAAAGCTTGAAGAGGCTTTTCCTGCAGAACAGGACCAAAGCTGGAATGGCCTAGTGGCCTCCACTGCCACTCACCTTGACCTTCTGATCCAGCAGACTCTGGGGAAGCAGGCCCGGGGGCAAGTGTGTCTTGAGGAGCCGAGGGGAGGGTGTATCTTTCAAAGTTTCCAGACCTAAGGTGCGGGCAGCAGATTAGTGAGATGGAGCCCAGAGTGACCTTCTTTAAGATCTTTTGCCCCTGGATTCTGCCACACACCTGATGGGACCCCTGGAACTTTGAACTCAAGGAAGGGTACACGCATGTAAATGGGTGCCCGGTGACACTTCCCTAGGTTACCACCGTGATAGATCATCTCCAGTATCTCGCTCAACCATGTGGTGCCTGGAAAGAGAGAGAGGCAGATGTGAGCAGGGTGAAGGGCTGGGCCCTGGAGACCAAGGTGGGGACTGCAGCCTCAGTGGGGGAGCAGAGTGACCCTCCTCACTTACCAGACTTGGGGTAGGTGCTGATGAGCACATCATCGGGCCAAGCCTGGAAGCTCTGAATTGGCCCCACCATCTCTGCAAAGTACTTGATGAGCGGGACCCCCTTCACATTGACCAGTGGAGGGCGGGAGGTGTCCTGGACCAGTTCCATGCTGCTGAGTCAGGGGCCAGCGCCTGCTCTGCTTCTCTGAATCCTTTCATAAAACAGGATTTGCTGGATTGTTGCTTTGAGATAGGGACACTGAGGCTGCAGGGCGTCCTGTGATTTGCCCAGCTTCTCTAAACTACTAAGTGGGGAGCTGGGATTGGAAAGAAGGTCTAACTCCAGTGCCGTGGTTCACAGCTCAGGCTGCACTTTCTTATTACTTGCAGAACATGACCCCAGTGCCTTCCCACAGCCCAGAACATTGTTAGCAATATCAGGGGTTAGAGTCCAGATACACAGATTTGGAAGCTCTCCCAGTGATTCTAGTGATTTCTTCAGCAGTTGAGAAATTCCTGCAGGCTCTGCCTGTTCCTTTTTGTTTGTTTTTCATTTGTTTTGTATTGTCTGTGGTGCTGAGGGTGGAACCCAGGGTCTCTTGCATGCTAGTCAAGTCCTCTACCACTGGCCGTGCACTAGCTGCCCTGCCCATCCTAACTCTTAACATGCAGCTCATTGTTCTTCCTCCCCTGCTGAGACACAGCCCTAGTGGGCTCATCTCTGATGTTCCCCTCTTGAGTCCCTAGGCCCTTCACATCTGGAAACAACTCAGGCCAGCCAGGCCTGGGATCCCACTTGCCCACCAAGCTCCATCTTGGTTCCAGGATAAACAGGACAATTGAGCAGCTGAACTTGGCTGGTGGGCCAGTCTTGCATGTGAATGAGCAAAACTGATCACTCAGAAAAAGAGGGGAAGGGGACTCCGGCCAGGCTGGAGTTGTCTATAGAGATGGGTGGTCTATTGAGATGTGGGAAAAGAACTGGGAGTTAGAATTCCAGTCAAGGGATCAAATAGGTGCCCGATCAAATGAAAGGAGCACCTGGAAGATGTTGAAGATGTTGGAGATGCTGGGCAGGGACCCGGCTTGTGTCCTCCTGGGCACGCCGGGGATTGGTGGAGGTGTGGAGTGGGTACTGCAGAGCTGTTTTCTGTGGGTCCACAGTGGGAGGGGTGAGGAGCCAGTCCTGGGAATGGCTATCTTCTGGAAGGAAGGTGGGGTTTAGGAATGGGTACATCAGGGTTACCATCCTTATCATTCTGTTGGATCCAGGCATACACCTGTCTTAAAATCCAACATGTGGGTTTAACCTACAGGAAACAAGAGAACTGAAATGAAGAGAAAGAGACCAAGGATCAGATGGTCCCTCAGCTGTGATCTGGCTACTGCAGGGCTCCCCAAACTTTGTCCCTGCAGGGAAGGTTAACAGATGGCTTTTTCTAATAGATCATGTCAAGGGAGGGGAGGGGAAAATGGGGTGCAAGGCCACTCACCTTCCTGCTGGCTCGTTTGGTCTCAAGGCACCCAGGGCTCAGGGGAGAGCAACCTCAGGCATTTCTGGAACTGCAGGCTCTGAGAGCAGGGCAAGTCCAGAGTGCTGAGTGGGCAGGGTGAAGGGATGGGGGTGGAGCAGAGCAAGGAAGTCTGTTTTGAGGCAGCATGGGATAGGAGAGAAAAATTATGTCGGAGCCTAATAGTTCTAGGAAGAAGTGAGTCCCTGCTTCATGGCTCCTGAGTGACTTCAGAGACATTGCTCACAGCTGCTGAATGGCCCCACAGGTGCTTCTTTCCCTGGGCTTGCAGGGGCCTCCAGAGACAGACATGAAGAGGCTGGGGCACAAGAGCCACAGGGCTCCATGTAAGGGAGCTCCCCAGCTCCTCCTCAGCCTTTTCTCTTATTGTTTGCATTAAAATCCAGTCTCGCTGGGCACTGGAGGTCAAGGGGCTCTGAGTCATGGGTGTGAGTCTCCTGTGCCTTCCCAGAATAGTGTGTCCTCAGAGGTAAGCTGGGGAACGGGATTCAGAAGGGATAGGTAGGGGGATGCTGGACACATGGTTGGGCCAGTGGCCCCTCCTCACACCTCTTCTCCCTGTCCCATGTCCCAGCAAACAACAGAAGGTATCATTGCTCAAAATTCATTTTTCTTCCAGTAACTGGGATTGAACCTAGTGGCTCTAACCATTGAGCCACATACCTCGTCCTGTTACAAACTTTTTTTCTCATGGGACAGGGTCACACCAAGTAGCTTATGGTCTTGATAAGTCCTGAGGCTGGCTTTGAACTTTTGATCCTCCTGCCTCAGCCTCCTGAGCTACTGGGTTTATAGCGTGTACCACCAGGTCTGTCTCACTACTCCTAATTGTACTCAATAAAAGCTGTCCAGTTTCTGGTAGAGGGGAGAGGGGACAGAAAAGCAGGGGCAGTGTTAGGGAGGTGGAGGGTCAGGTATGCAGTGATCCCATGGAGACAAGATGTGGTCACATGCAGCCTGGATAGAGGCAGCTAGGAAGGATGTGCCAGTATTACCCCTCACCTGTTCTCATTCCCAGCCATCCTCTTCCTCCTCAGTGTCCACCTGGCACACTCAGATCAGGTCACCCCAAAGTAGTGACTTCACACAATAATCAAGAGTGCAGCTGGTAGGAGATGATACAGAGTCAGGCTTCTCAAGCCCCTTGTGGCCCTGGCCCTGGGGTCTAAGGACTCAGCTGCCCCAGCCTGGACTGGACCACTGGGCCCCTCTCCCCAGAGCTAGGCCAGGCTGGAAAGAGGACAGCACTCACCTAGGACATTGGCCCTCAGGGGCAGAAGCTGCCCTGGCTCTTCCTGAAGGGACTCCTCTGCCAGGCAGATCACATGGGCCCTAGAGGAAATCCTTGATGAGGGCAACAGAGGGACACTGTTCATCCCATCAGAGGTGGCAGGCAGGGAAAGGAAGACAGGAGCAACTCACGTGTACTGAGAAGTAGAGCCAGACCTCCATCTGTTAATTTGTTAATTATTATGCGACCATATTCTCTCTGCTATCTCTGCTATCCTCTTTTTTGAGGTTTTTTTTGGGGGTGGTGGTGGTATTGGGTATTGAACCCAGGGTCACTTGACCACTGAGCTACATATTCAACCCTTATTATTTTTAATTTTTTAAATCATTTATTTATTTATTTTTGATACCAGGGATTGAACTCAAGGGCACTTAACCACTGAACTAAATCTCCAGACCTTTTAAATATTTTATTTAGAGACAAGTTCTCACTGAGTTGCTGAGGGCCTTGCTAAATTGCTGAGGCTGGTTTCGAACTTATGATCCTTCTACCTCAGCCTCCTGAGCCACTTGGATTACAGGCTTGTTCTACCTCACCAGGCTTATTTTTTATTTTGATACAAGGTTTCACAAAGTTGCTGAGGCTGTACTCCAACTTCCCATCCTCCTGCATTAGCCTCCCAAGTTGCTGGGATTACAGGTGAGTGCCACCACACCTGGCTACTCTCTTCTGAAGCAGTGAACATAAACTTCCTTCCTGGAGTCTACTGTGAAGAGTGGGGGAGCTGATCACAAGAAAAAAAAATATCTATATATATTGTAAAAAAAAATCTAAATTTATATTTATAATAAATATATTTTAAAATATATACATTTATATACAATAAATATGAATATCATATATAACATTACATATCACTTATTATATATTACATTTTATATTATAACATATAACGTATTAATATTTATATATAGTCTATATAATATACAACAATATAATACATTATAACACATATGTATTAGGGTTCTCTAGAGGAACAGAATCAACAGGAAGTATGATTATAAACAAGAGATTTATCAGGTTGGCTTATGCGACCAGAAGCTGGATAGTCCACAATGGCTATCCGTAGGCTGGAGAGCTGGAAGAACCAGTAGCTGTGCACTTCAAGAGGCAGAAGTCCCAGAACAAGATGGATACTGGTGCTACCCTAGACCAAGACCGACTGCTTCTGGAAATTCCCTGGAGAAACACTGGCAGAGTTTGGCTTTGGAAAAGTGAAGAAGTGAGGGTCCAGTATCTTCAGATGATCAAAGCAGCAATTAAGAACCCATTCCAGAATAATCGAGCTTGCCTCTGCTGCTGCTTCCTTGTTCTTCCAACTTTAATTCCATCCAAGCCCCCATCCTATTGGGTGTGCTACCCACAATTAGGGAGGATCTCCACTTCAGTTGGCTATCCCACATGCCAATCGCCCTAGACACACCCTCATTGACACACCCAGAAGCTTCTTTTTTTTAAAAAAAATTTTTTTTAGTTGTGGACAGACATAATACCTTTATTTTATTTATTAGTTTTTATGTGGTGCTGAGGATCAAACCTAGTCCCATGCTAGGCAAACACTCTACCAACTGAACTATAACCCCAGCCCCCCCAGAAGCTTCTTAATCACCAGCATATTTTAATCCAATGAAGTTGACAATTCAATTTAACCATTACAATATAATACATTTTATGAATATATAAACAATTATATTTTATAATATAATACATATATTACATTATAAATATAAATACCATATATCATATAAATACCATATATAGCATATAAATATATATTATGATACATATTATATATAGTAGTATATATAGTTTATATTCTTTATATATATATAAATATAAATATATAATATGAAACAAAAATACATAAGGGGAACATTGGGCCAATCGCTGAAGTGTGTACCTGCATTCCCAGAGATGAGAAGTGGACTCAGGATGACCACATTTTCTTGGTCAGCCTGGCTAATTGGGCAAGACTCTGTCAAAATAACAACAAAACAAGTGTTGGGATGTAGTGTTGTGGTGTGAACTGATCAACACAATAAGTTACTAATACTGGTTGTGTAAAGCAATTGCTGTGATTAAACTACCTGATCACTTGTAACAGTTCCCTCCTTGCTGGAGCTGTTGAGAGCCACAGCCGAAGGGGCCCCAGCAAACTTCCAGCTGCCAGCAATCCAGCTGCCGGCTGATGATTGGCTCACAGCGGCCCCAGCAACATCTAGCTGATTGGCTCCTCGGCCCCAGCAACATCTAGCTGATTGGCTCCTCTGCGGTGATGCTCATTGGACTGTTTCCCTGCTCTTTCAGACCACGGAGCTGCTCATTGGGGGACTTTTTTGGCTCTGCCCACGTGACCCAGCCAATCGGCCTCAAGAGCAGGAGGATTGTGGGAGGTGGGGAGAAGCTTGTGGGGGGAGAGAGAGGCTTGTAAAAAGCCGGTGGTGGCAGTTGAGGCTCTGAGGATTTTTCCTGAGGAGCTGTTTTGTTTGGTGTGTGGTTCTAAAAATAAAGTTAGTTTCTTTTGACAAGTGGCTCCTGATTGTGCCCAGCCAGACTGCGGCATGGAGCGACAAGCATGGAATCACTATGGCTCTATGAGCAAACAGATGTGGCTGAAATTACTCCATCTCAGCTATTCTAGACTCCTCCTTAGTTTTTCTGTTATTGCCCCCATGAAGAGACAGCTGCAGGACCCACTTCTGAGAAAACAAAATGAGAGCTGTTTTCTGCTAAATTAAAAAATATATATATTATCCTCTGTACTTTGTACCCCACAAAATGTACTTGAACCCAGGATGTACAACCACACTGTGCTTGAACCCAGGATGTGATTGTCTGACGGCTCTGCTAACTGCTTTTTTCAGCCCTTGTACCCTGCTTGCTTGCAATTCACAGATTCCATAGGATGTGGTTTTTCTTCCTTAAATATTGGTACCACGGACAACCTGGCACACTTCTGTCAAAAGGATGTTTGGGCATGGCAGAAGCGTCCCTGGCCAGGTAATAAAGCTCTCTAATTTGTTTCAAATTCAGTCTTTGAGCATTTTCTGAGCGGTCTCCCTATAACAGTAGCTTAGTGATACATTGCCCCACATTCTATCCTCAGTATCAAAATAAAGCACATAAATTGGGGAAGCAGGTCGACTACAAGGAAGAGCTATAGTTTTGGATGGAGCCAGGGAAGACCTCCACAAGAGGGTGGCACATGGTCAACTCTGAAGGTCTAGGAAAGAGCCTTTCACACAAGAGAAAGGGCAAAGGAACTGTTAATAGTGGTGGGTCCGAGGACCTGCAAGTACTACCCTTCCCAGGTTAGAAGTGGGGGCAGAGCAGCTCAAAGGTGTGAACTGCCTGGTCTCTCAACACCTTAAACCCAGATCATGGGAACCCTAGCCCCCCATCCTAATGGGGGTGGATCTCACCTGCATCAGGTATCACAGGCATAGCAGAACTCTTTGCCCAGCTTCCTTGCTGTCTCCATGGGGTTCCACTTAACAATTCCAGATGCTGGGCTGTGTCAGAAGCAATGTGCAGAGATTCCCCCCACCCACAGGGCCATAGTTCTATGCCCATGCATGACTCCAAGAGGGACAGGAGGAGTGTGAGTGCAGTCAGGCCCACTCAAATCGACCAGGAAGAACAATAACATTGGGATAGCTGAAGCAGGGGACAATTCCTGGGCCCACCAGTTAGGCAGTTGATCCTAAGGGCGGCCACTGCAGACCCTAAGGCCTGCATGAGGAAGACCATATCCCTGGGAGGAGAACAGA